TGACTTATACATGTTCCTATGACTATGAGATTATGCAACTCCCGTTTACCGGAGGAACACTTTATGTGCTACCAAACGTCACAACGTAACTGGGTGATTATAAAGGAGCTCTACAGGTGTCTCCAAAGGTACATGTTGGGTTGGCGTATTTCGAGATTAGGATTTGTCACTCCGATTGTCGAAGAGGTATCTCTGGGCCCTCTCGGTAATGCACATCACCTAAGCCTTGCAAGCATTGCAACTAATGAGTTAGTTGTGAGATGATGTATTACGAAACGAGTAAAGAGACTTGCCGGTAACGAGATTGAACTAGGTATTGAGATACCGACGATCGAATCTCGGGCAAGTAACATACCGATGACAAAGGGAACAACGTATGTTGTTATGCGGTCTGATCGATAAAGATCTTCATAGAATATGTAGGAGCCAATATGAGCATCCAGGTTCCGCTATTGGTTATTGACCGGAGACGTGTCTCGGTCATGTCTACATTGTTCTCGAACCCGTAGGGTCCGCACGCTTAAGGTTTCGATGACAGTTAGATTATGAGTTTATGAGTTTTGATGTACCGAAGGAGTTCGGAGTCCCGGATGAGATCGGGGACATGACGAGGAGTCTCGAAATGTTCGAGACATAAATATTGATATATTGGAAGCCTATATTTGGATATCGGAAGTGTTCCGGGCGAAATCGGGATTTTACCGGAGTACCGGGAGGTTACCGGAACCCCTCGGGAGGTATATGGGCCTTAGTGGGCCTTAGTGGAAGAGAGGAGAGGTGGCCAGGGCTGGGCCGTGCGCCCCTCCCCCCTAGTCCGAATAGGACAAGGAGAGGGGGGCGGCACCCCCCGTTCCTTCTCTCTCTCCTCTTCCCCCCTCCCGAATCCTATTCCAACTAGGAAAGGGGGGGAATCCTACTCCCGGAGGGAGTAGGACTCCTCCTGGCGCGCCCTCTCCTGGCCGGCCGCATCCCCCCTTTGATCCTTTATATACGGAGGCAGGGGGCACCCCTAGAGACACAAGTTGATCCACGTGATCATATTCTTAACCGTGTGCGGTGCCCCCTTCCACCATAGTCCTCGATAATATTGTAGCGGTGCTTAGGCGAAGCCCTGCGATGGTAGTACATCAAGATCGTCACCACGCCGTCGTGCTGACGGAACTCTTCCCCGACACTTTGCTGGATCGGAGTCCGGGGATCGTCATCGAGCTGAACGTGTGCTAGAACTCGGAGGTACCGTAGTTTCGGTGCTTGATCGGTCGGGCCATGAAGACGTACGACTACATCAACCGTGTTGTGCTAACGCTTCCGCTGTCGGTCTACAAGGGTACGTAGATCACACTCTCCCCTCTCGTTGCTATGCATCACCATGATCTTGCGTGTGCGTAGGAATTTTTTTGAAATTACTACGTTCCCCAACAAAAAGCACTTTGGATCGGGCTGATAATATCAGGCAGTAAAGCCTTCAAACACGCTGACAACATTTTGGAGATAATTTTGTATACCACATTGCAAAGACTGATAGGTCTAAACCGGGTTACCTTCTCGGAAGAGTTGACCTTGGGAATTAACACAATCGTAATATCATTCCAACCCGGTGGAATTGTACAAGTATTCACTGCTTGCAAGACCTCATCCACCAAATCATCCCCTAGCATGGGCCAAAATCTTTTATAAAAATAGCATGAAGACCATCCGGCCCCGGAGCTTTAAATCGCCAATACCAAAAAGAGCCTTATGAACATTATCAACAGTATAAGGGGCGAGCGGGGCATTATTCATCTCAGTAGTCACTCTACTCCGGACAAGAGACAAAACTTCCTGATTTGGGATAAAAACCTCTGATGTAGAAAGATTGGAGAAATAACCCATGATATGTTCCTTCAGATCATTTCCTTATTTCCAAACACCACTATCATCTAGAAGTCTTTTAATATTGTTCCTTTTAGAAGCTGTAGCACGCCTGCACTTGTGATTTGTCGTGCTAGGACTTCTTCATTCGACTAGAGCATCTTTAAGGTGGACCTGTAGCCATGGCCAGGGCCTCAGGAGTCATCCCCGTGATAGGGGTGTTCAAGAACTGTTTGTTCCTACGACGAAGCTCCTCACGTTGCTCCCAAGTGAGAGCTTGAGGGACGTACGACTCGTGAGAGGGGCGTGATTGTCATCGCTGTCGCCGTTGGTGTTCCCGTGCGAAGCGCCCGTGTGCCCATCCCGGGGCCCCGTGTATCCCGGGGGCGGATGAGGCTCGGAGTTGTCTGCCATGAAAACTTCAGCAGTTGATTCGACGCTCTCGTACTCAGACTCATCGGAAGAGCCATCGAGTAGCCCATCGGAGAGGTTGAGGGCGGGCTCGCCGGACTCGAGAGCCGCCACGTGCTCTGCCGCGGCCAGAAGGGCCACGGCGTGCTTGATCCAGCACTGCAGCCGAGAGCATTCAGAACGCTTGCGGCGGCACGCGACAGGAAGGCGATCGGCCACTCGGTAAGGAGCCGATGCTGCTGGAGGAGGCCTCCATACGTGGATGCGTGGAAGTGCGCTGTGCTGCGGATAGGCAACATTTCCACGTCCAGCGGGGCCTCGCGAAGCCACGCTGAGTCGTCGGCGATGAAGCTGAGTGACCTGAAACGGATTTCGCCACCGAGCAACATGATGATGATTCACCCGCCGCATGAAACTTTGCTAGATGCCTATCCTCATGGTGGGCGCCAACTGTCGGGGTTACGATCCTAACAATAAGTACTAGGGGTTCGAAAGAGGGGCAGAGCCTAGCTACGGCGCAGGTGTAACACTCGGTGTTTAACGAGTTCAGACCCCTCTCAACGGAGATAATAACCCTACGTATCGTACGCCGATGCTTGTGTTTCTTGTAGGATATGATTACAAAGGTTGCTTAACCCCAGCTCAAGAGGAGGAGTGCGGCTTATATAGAGTGCGCTGCAGCTCCAAGTCTCCACGTCGCTGGGGCACTTAATGCTCATTACTATGGCATTTACTGGTATAAAGTGCCACAACTACAACAGTTATAGGTAACAGCAGCCATGACTCTACTTTAAGGGTGACTTAGGGTTGCTCGACCATTGCAGCTCCCATGCCGCCCCACCACCTCCCCTGCCCGAGCGGTGGTTGTCGTGCCGACTGAAGAGTGGTCGCCGAGTGGTGTCGAGGTGTCCGAGTGGACTTCCTGATATGTGCATCCGAATGCTAATCTGGTCCAGGGACTTACCAATGATGGTGTGGGGCCCATATGATGGGTTCCTGACCCTGTCTGTAGTAGGTGACCTCATCAACGACTGCATGCATAGTTGGTCGGAGAGCAGGTGCTCCGGAACCCTGTCGTTCGAGATCCTGTCCGGGAGAACGACAATAAGGTTTATGGGGAGCGTCTCGGCGCGGCTGCTCCCGATCCCGTCCGCGTCTCCATCCGCCTCTGCTTCCACTACTTCTCGTACATCGACCCCATGGCTGCCGCCGCCGCCGCCAAGAAAAAGGCCACGGACGATGCCGAGGCCGCCGCCGTCGCTGTGTTGGTCTGGCCAATTGGAGGGTATGATTCGTTCATCCCCTATTTGCATGTTCATATGCTAGCCGTATATATTCTATTTATAGATGTTTTGGTTCTATGTATTGTACGTGCTTACATGCTTAGGTATCAGTATGAGTTGCATATTGTGATTGGCATGTTTATTATCTGCTCGTGGATTAGTCTAATCAAAAGGTGCTGATATTTCAGACTCTGGGTGAACCTGATCAAATCAATCCCATGTAGTGATGTGACTGTTGAGCAGTTGGACCACTGGCAGCATACTGACAGGGTGGTGCTATCCGATGCTGATGACAAAATCATTTAAAAATGGACCTCCAACAAGATTTACTCTGCTAATTCTGCATATCATTGTCAGTTCATTGGTCGAATTAACACTCACCTCTCACAACTCATCTGGATGATCAACATATCGGAAAAGGTAAAGTTTTTCACGTGACTGGCCATCCAAAATTCAGATATCATTTTGGAACTCATTTGAAACCTGCCCATTCATTGCTGTTGTACGGCGCTTCTTTCTGACAAAATTCAGATTTTTTTTTTGAACATGCGACAAAATTCAGATATCATTTTGACCTTAAACGAAGATATGATACAAATTCTCTGCTCCAATGGTGGCTTCATACACTGGACAACATCCCTTGACACCGGCAGAAAGAATTTTCAGCACTATGCATGCTCATCTGGTGGCAGGTTTTGGAACGAAAGAAACAACAGAATTTTCAATGGCAAAGCTACTGATTTCATTGGAACTTGTAACACGATAACTGACAAGTTGTACACTTGGGTCCGTGTTGGAGACAAAGGTGTGAAATGGCTGGCATAGTAGCATATGTTTTTTTTTGCGGGGTAGCATAGTTTTCCTCCCCTTCGTTCCATTCTCATACATATGTAAAGTTTTTTTTTTGCGGGATAGTTCATGGCTTAGAGTACCAACAATCCTGATACACTTAGCTTCTCTGTATTTCCTGGACGGATTTTTCCTCTTGATGAATGAAAAACAGCATTCTGCTGTGGTTCGTAAAAAAAAAGGTTGGGTGCCATGCCAGGGATACATGGTGCGCTGGAGCTGTGTCGACGCGAGATGGCGTACCGGCCAGAAACTGACACGTCTAGAGCTAGTCAATGATAGTGCCCCCTTCACTCACCGCCACAAGTTGGTCCACGTGAGTCATCTTCCATGACTTAATCGTCCAACTACAAATCAGTCAAAGAGGCCGCACATACATCTCGCAAAACGTTGCCATATAGCACCATCAAGCTGAATTTTCGCTTGGAAGATAGAGGAAAATATCTGATACTCTCACCCCTAGGGGCTACCGCCCTTGAACATAGGTGGAGGCAACGAACAAACTGCTTCGTATCCAACACTATTTAAATATGGCGTACTCTGGAGGCAACTCGTATCCAACACAAACAGTGAAGCAGAAAACACACCAGCAATACGCACCACAAGATGAGCACGGCCATGGCACCACTCCTGTTCGCAGTGCTCGTGTTGCCGTTTGCAGCACCTGCCGCGGTGACGATGGCTAGAAGAAACTGCTCCAGCTACTGTGGTTATCCGTCGAACCCGCCGCCGCCTTATCCGTTTGGAGTAGGGCCTTCGTGCTCCATGCCTGGTTTCAATCTCACCTGTGATGCAGATAACGGCACTTACCTCCTGCTGGGCAGCCCAACCATGAAGGTGTCTTTTTATTCCAACGAATTCAATCACAACCTCCGCACCAGTATCTCGTACTTCGTGGAGATGATTGCCGGCGTCCGCGACTACTCCCTCCACTGGGAAGCTCCTGCCAGGCCCTTCGTCATATCTGGGTCGTCAGACATGTCGTTGTTTGTTGTTGGCTGTGGTGTGAAGGCCTCGCTGTTCATTGGCAACTCGGCCGTTGAGGTCGGGAGCTGCTTCGCCGTCTGCGCGGAAGCTCGAATCTTGGAGAAGGTACTCGCGGGTACTTGCAGTGGCCTCGGATGCTGTCTCATTGACATACAAGTGAACCTAAGGGCGTTCACCCTCAACATCTCGCGTATCAGCGATTCGGCGCGCTCGGAAGGAGTGCACGCCTTCATCAGCGGAGATAAGAACCGATTATTCAGTCCGATTGAAGCCTTAAGATCTATACTGCCAGTGCCAGTGCCAGACGAATACGAGTATTCCACTGTGAATCCTGTACTGGATTGGTCTATTCCCTACCAGCCGAACTGTAAGCGCGCCATGCAGAACAAGGGCAGCTATGCATGCGTTAGTAAGGGCAGTGAGTGTCACGACTCGCCAATCGGTGGATACCTTTGCTATTGCCAGCGTGGAGAGGGCAACGCGTACGTCGACGGCGGCTGCGACAACCCGCCAGGTAATTTCTCCATCTATGTGACTATTAACTTTTATGTTGACCTTGGTTGGAGATTACAATAACAAGTTAGTAATAGCTCCTTTTGTGTTTGCGAGGAATGGTTAGACTGCTAGAATAAACATACCACGTCCTAGTTTCCAAGCTTTCAGAACCTAGTTAGCCTAAAAGTTTTTTGACTAGATCATGGCTTATGAATGTTCTCCAAGTTTATGTGTGGCTGTCCAGGCCAATGCTCACGCTATCCTAAGTTTCGTTGTGGCTGGCAAGTGGGCCAAATGTCCACAACCGTAGTACCCTTATCTCCGCATCCAAATCCATACAAACCGTGCACCAACGTAACATGTATTTTATTTTTTTTGCGGGAACGTAACATGTAGATCAACATCACAAACAAGTTCACTGGACAAAGAAATATAGATAGATTCGAGGATAGATAGTTCATTCGACAGACTAATCGGACCCAAAATAGACAAATTTCACCTGATTAAACTAGATATACAAATAAATAAGACAATGCGGAGGGCGAGATCACCACTTATTGGCCGGACCCTTTCCCTTGCGGTCGGCGGCGCGGCGGTCCACCTTCTCCGTGTACATGTCCGCGGCGGGAGGGTCGTCGTCGTCGCCATCCGAGCTGATGGTGCCGCTCTCCGATGCAGAGGAGATGTAGCCCGCCAGACGGCGAATGCCGCAGCTCTACTGTCGGGCGTGGCGTGTCGCCTTCGCCTTGGAGCTCTCCTTCTCCCTCGTGAGGTGCTCCGAAGCCTCGAGCCCGAGGCGGAGCGCCTTCACATTCCTCCACCAGAGGAGCCTGACGTCAGTCACCACAGTGGTGAGCGAGCACCGCATCACCTCGCGGAGGAGCACCTCCTCCGGATCCACCGGCACGAAGCATGCAAACAGTCGGGACGAGCCGGGCTCCACCGCGGCCGCCGCTCGCTGCCGCTCACAAAGGAAGGCCTTCGCCTCCGACTCCAACATGCTCATGCACACCGGAGCCGCGTGCACAAGCATCCACGCTGCCCGGGCAGTGCCGGAGCCGGAGGAAAGGAGAGGGGTCTGCCCTGCCACGGATCTGGAGTGGGGCAGAGCGAGAAGGGCGAGCCCGACCCGCATTGCGAAGGCGCAATCTGGAGGAGCTGGTGGCGGAAGCCACTGAGCTCGAGCTTCTATCGGTGTCTAGCCGCGACCGCTTGATGGCGATGCGGAGTGCGAGCTCCTCATCACCGGGTGCATCACTACCGAGGTTGGAGTCCTCCTCCTTCACGAGGTCGTCCCAGTCCATGGGATTGGACTCGCTGTCAGACTCGTCGCCGAACTTGGCCATGTTGGAGGAGGCGGAGATATTCGGAGAAGACGAGTAGGGAGCGGAGGGGGCAAGTAGACTAAGAGCGACTAGGATTCGTCCGAGAGGATGGGGTTTTATGAGGACGGTGGTGGGGGCGGCACGGGCCATAATGGGCCAGGCCTATGTGACGGGCATGCCCGGGTGCGTCCAGGAGTCCCCTATCCGTCTCAAATATGGACCGGATATGGAAATGTTGATCAGTCGGGATGTTTAGGCTAGATATGAACAGCCCGGTTGGGTGACGTTTTTTAATCCGGACAATGACAGAGCAGCCGTCCGAACGTTTAGGACGGACATGGGTAACCCTATAGGCAACTGGCGCCACGGTGCCACCGTGACAACACTCAAGTTAGAAAAACATGGCAAAACTACGTGTGCCTCTGACAGATAGACAATATTCATGATAACATGCCTCTGGCAGATAGACAATATTCATGATAACATGTGAAATCATGTAGCGTGCATACATAATGAGCATACATTCGGTCTTCGCAAGAAAAAAATGAAGCAATCGACAAACTATTACGATCATATCAACGCCAACCATCTCTTAACACCACAAGGACAATGAGTTTTTTCAACAACGCTTTCAAGAAGAAAACGATGCTCAAGAGCGCCGTCACCGGATCCCACCGCCAAATGCCAGATTCTAAGTTTTAACACTGAATAACAAGTCTAAGCATATCCGAGCAATGCCTTCAACAAGGTCACGACACAAAAACATGGCCATTATCACGTATAACCAACTCGGGCCAGACCAAGAAATTTCATCCCAGAGCTCAAGATCGGGTATTTGAGAAGCACCACCAAATTAAAGTCAATCATGTGTCGTCGCTACAACTTTTCACAATCCTAACTACTACAAGCGTTGGGCTAGAAATCACACCATTGCCGATGCACCATCATATCCTCTACGTCAAGCCACCATTCATAGATTTCATCGCATCATCGAAGGAAAACTGTCCGCAGTGAGAGACGCCAAAAATCACAGTGGAGTCTCCTAGCTACATCCCACAACCTTACTATAACACCCTCGATGCGACTATAGCTCCCACGTGTCGAGGCACGACTTAGAGACATAATCGCATTGAAGGCATATGTCGCAAGTTAGGCAATCTTCACAACATCTCATGTAATATGAATAATAAAGGGGAGAACATAGTTGGCTTACACTCGCCACGTCAATCAAGAACATAAATAACATTACATCATCCAAAACACTCATGGCCCGACTACGGAGCCAAAATAGAAGAGAACCCAACATGCGACACGGTCCCAATCACCCCCAACTGGGCACCATACTGATCGTCGGGAAATGAAACATAGTATCGCTGAGAGTCTTCGTCGAACTCCCACTTGAGCTCATACGCGTCTCCTGGAGCGGAATCACCTGGACCTGCATCTGGTATAGTGGGAATCTGTGAGCCACAGGGACTCAGCAATCTCGCACCCTCGCGATCAAGACTATTTAAGCTTATAGGAAGGGTAAGGCAAATATATGTGGAGCTGCATCAAGCGGCTAGCATATATGGTGGCTATTTTATTCGCAAAAGAGAGCGAGAAGAGGAGGCAAAGCGCGAGCGAGAAACTAGAGAGCAACCTGCGCAAACATTACTCCAACACCGTGTCCACTTCCCGGACTCCGCCGAGAAGAGGCCATCACGGTAACACACTCAGTTGATTTATTTTAATTAATTAAGGCTCAAGTTATCTACAACCGGACATTAACAAATTCCCATCTGCCCATAACCGCGGGCACGGCTTTCGAAAGTTCAATCCGTGCAGGGGAGTCCCAACTTAGCCCATGACAAGCTCTCACGGTCAACGAAGGAATAGACCTCCTCCCAAGACGTTCCGATCAGACTCGGTATCTCGGTAACTCAAGACACTTCGACAGGTTAAAACAAGACCAGCAACACCGCCCGAATGTGCCGACAAATCCCGATAGGAGCTGCACATATCTCGTTCTCAGGGCACACTCAGATGAGACTAGCTACGAGTAAAACCAACCCTCAAGTTTCCCCGAGGTGGCCCCGCAGGCAGCTTAGTTCGGACCAACACTCAGAGGGAGCATTGGCCCGGGGGGGTTTAAAATAAGATGACCCTTGGGCTCCGGTAACCCAAGGGAAAAATAGGCTAGGTGGCGAATGGTAAAACCAAGGTTGGGCATTGCTGGAAAAGCTTTAAACAAGGCGAACTATCAAGGGGTTCCCATTATAACCCAACCGCGTAAGGAACGCAAAATCCGGGAACATAACACCGATATGACGGAAACTAGGGCGGCAAGAGTGGAACAAAACACTAGGCGAGAGGCCGAGCCTTCCACCCTTTACCAAGTATATAGATGCATTAAGATAACATAGCAATATAATGATATCCCAACAGGTAAATAAATGTTCCAACAAGGAACGGCTCCAATCTTCACCTGCAACTAGCAACGCTATAAGAGGGGCTGAGCAAAGCGGTAACATAGCCAATCAACAGTTTGCTAGGACATGGTGGGTTAGAGGTTCAACATGGCAATTGGGAGGCTGACAAGCAAAAGGTAGGCATCGTAGCATTGGCATAGCAAGAGCGAGCAAACTAGCATAGCAAAGATAGTAGTGATTTCGAGGGTATGATCATCTTGCCTGCACAGTTGTCAGAGTTGACTGAATCCTCACAAGCAAACTCAACGGGCTCCTCGGTAGCGAACTCATCTCCCGGCTCTACCCAAACAAGACAAACAAGTAACAAGGACACAATCAACCACGTGCAAGACCAAGCAATATGATGAAATGATGATATGCTATGCGGGATGTGATGCGGGATGTCAAATGCAAGATATGACAGGAAATGCATGAACCTGGCCTCAACTTGGAATTCCAAGGGTGCCACTGGAAATATGAGATGAAATCGCTTGAAAACGATATAAAGAACGCCAGAATCGGACTTACGGTTTGGAAATGGCAAGCGTTTCGAAAATGACACCGGTCTGCGATTTACAGCAAGTAGGCATCTAAATGCAATAAAATGAACATGCTACAGCACCCAAACATGACAACAAAATGCATGGCAGGGATGTACACAAGATGCTTAACAAAAGTCTAGCACTGGGCTACGGCCAATTCATCCATTATGAGGTTCAAACAAGCATGTCAAAAACGCAAATGCAAAACAGATTCCAGACTTTGTGAAATTAACACTTGTCTGAAATTTCAGATCACGAAGCCCTCTTCGGAGCAGCAAAACAACATGATACATGACCTGATTAAGACAAGTAAGAACATGGAATAGAGCTACTCAACAAGCTTAACAAAAGACCCAAAGTGACCTGGGGCCAAAAGGGTTCACAAAATATACTAACGGGAACACGAACATAGCTAAAACACAATCAGTTTTCAGACTTAGTGAAAACTGAGACATGCTGAAATATAACTCACGAAGGCATGTAAACGAGCTCGATGCACTCACTACGGTGCAATTCATGGCAAGGCAAGCATACATCCATTAAGAAGGAACAAAATGCTAGCTAGACATGGCAAGAACAATGGCATAGCATGCACGGATCAACTACAATAGCATCGGCAAAAACACAAAGAAGTTGACGATCTGCCCAGATTCACAAGGAAGCAAAAGTAGAGCTCGATTGACTCAAGTTAGGGTGCTCCAT